GGCACGCTGTGTTGGCCTCAGAAACCAGTTATGGTGCACGCCTGTAATCCCAGCACTGGGGAGGTTGAGACAGCAGGATCACTATGAGTCCAAGCTGCGTAGCAAGACCCTGTACCAAATGAATAAGCAAATAAAAGATTAAAAAAATAATAACTTAAGGGAGATAAACAGAAGAGCTCCAGAATTAAGAAAAAGAAAAAAAATTAAAGAAAGAAAAGCAGCTAGAAAAGCTGGAAATCACAGAGAAACCATCCAGAGCTAAAGATCCCACAGAGAAGAGAATAAAGTAATCTGAAGCATTAGTCCCAGCTCCCGGAGTGGGGACCCGTCTTCACAAACACAACATAAGCTGGATGAGAATCGGCAGTTACAGTGATGACTACAGACTTACAGCGCTAGCCCCAAGAAAAACTCATGCTAAGCTGCAAACGCGATGTGGGTTTACTCTGAAGGGGGGCCCTTCCACTGCGCAGGCAAGAGGTGGGAGCAAAGGCAGCACAACACGCGCTGTATTGGGGGCAATATGATGTATGACACGACGGATTACGACCCAGCCACAAAGAAAGATTAATTGGAATCACTTGTAGAAAAACGGAAGTAACTTGAGACCACAATACTAAGTGAAGTGAATCAGATGCCAAAGGTTAAATGACAGGTGGTTTATCTTACACGAGAAATCCCCAAAATATAAATAAATTAAATATCAAAACAAAAGATAGATAACAGGAACCTGGGAGCCAGGCTTGGTGGAGATGGGGCGTGGATCTGGAGATGACAAGAGACAGGAGCAAGGGAGAGGGAGGTGACGAGGTTCGAGATGCAACGTGTGTGTGCACCAATTGCCCTGGAGGAATGTGCTTATTGAGTACGGGAAATATACGCTAATAAAAAATTAAAATAAAAATATTATAGTGATTTTTCTCAAACACAGAGAGAATAGACTTAGGTAAACAATCTCAGAAAGCTCTCACACTACATAAATTCTACAACTAGTTCTACAATACTGCCATGTAAGATAGAGGTGTCAAGATTGCCCTGAGGTAGTTGGCAGATAGACAGCAGGATGCTTGGGTGCTAGAGCAATGAAGCGATCCCCAGGGTCCCACTGTTCCAAGAGATTTATGCTGCACAATGATTATTGGGTTGAAAAATAACGAGGTGGCCTTTGGACAAGCGATAGAACTGGTCCAGGGCCATCAAAGTCAGGGCTCTCCGACTTATACTCAAGACCTGAGATCCCCTGGACGATTGCGTCCACCTTGTCTCTACCTGCTTAATAAGCCCTAGTGCCTGCCTTTTGTCACCCTATGCCCCATTCCTTCCTTGAGGTAGCAAATTCAGTTCCATTATGGCTCCAAGAGTTGTCCTCAGCCCAGCAATATCGGTATCACTGAGAGCATGTTAGAAATGCAAATTACTGGCACTTTTCTAAGTGCTTTTCCTGTTTTATCTGCTTGGCTCTCCTACCATCATAGTAAGCTAGTGATTAGCCAAAGGCCTCTTCTTAGAGGTGCAGGGAAATTAACAACTGGTCGCATGTCACAGTCAATAAATGGTAGGTACTAGACTTAAACCAATGTCCAAGTGACTTCAGAGCTCCATCTCTAACTGTCCTATATACTATTTTTTTTATTTAGTACAGAGTCTACAGGGTCTCACTATATAGATCAGACTTGCAGTGATCTGCCTGTGTTCAGCCTCCCAAGAGCTGGGATTACAGACGTGCGCCACCAGGCCCAGTCTCAATTGCTGTCTCAATGTGTGCTGGGGATGGGGCCAGCAGGGCACACCGGGAGTTGAATCCCACCTGCTGCGTCTGCCTAAGCAGGCACTTTAATCCACTGAGCTATTTGGCCAAGCCCTATATACTATTAAATTCTGAGCCAGAGGAAAGGACAGAGATTAAGTTTTACACCCAGTAGGATTTAAACATGCTCTGGCATACTTAATTTCCATGAAAGTTGGTGATGCATGTGTGGGTGTGTATTTTAAGGGTGTTAGACTGAAGAGAATAATGTATAAGACTCATTCAGCCAAAATGAGGACTTAATGTGTTCCAAGTACCTGTCAGTGGTGTTAATGGTTGGCTAGGCTGGCTAATTGAAGTGTAGACTTAAAAAGAAACCTGCAGTTAATGAAGTGGAAAATCAGAACTTCCCCCGGAGGTTGGGAAGGGGTGCAAGGGCTCAGGGAAGTGGCTCTGTTGGAATGACTCTATCTGGAGCAAGCTGCTCGGCTGTCTCCTAACTGCAGTCCCAGGAAAGCCCAGGGGAGCACTCCCTTCATCCGGGCATTAAGAGATGCTTTGATGAGGGTCTTGGGAGAAAAACAGCATCCTAAAGAATTTTATGGTGGCTGTTCTGTATGGATGAATGCTGGCAGTGGGGTTACGATTCTTTCATGGTTCTCAAACTTTCATGCACTTCAGGAGCCCCTGAAGGACTTTGTAAGACTCAGCATGCCCTGACACTGCTGGTGACAATCTAAACCACTGTGGTGCCAACAGATGCAGTGACTGTGACTTTTCTTATTCCTACTCTGCTCCTAAAGCATATAAACAACCCAGTCCCCAAGCCCCATCTGAGAGATCTATTTCTCAGGACCACTTCTGAGTCCCCAACCCTTAGTCAGTCAAGTCTCAGCAAGGAAAAGATGACCCCTAGCTGGGAAGAATTTGAGAATAGTTTGCTAAAGTAGCTACATTTAGGGCTGTGGCGATAGCTCAGAGGTCTAAGTGCCTGCCTAGGCAAGCTCAAGGACCAGAGTTGGAGCCCCAGCACCCTGTGCTGTGCCAGCTCCAGAACCCCAGGTGCACTGAGCTGTCTACCAAGACTGGGCGTGGTGGTGCACACCTGTAATCCCAGTGCTGGGGAGGCTGAAACAGGAGGATCACTATGAGTCCAAGCTGCATGGTGAGACCCTGTACAAAATTTTTTGAAGAAGAAGAAGAAGAAGAAGAAGAAGAAGAAGAAGAAGAAGAAGAAGAAGAAGAAGAAGAAGAGGAGG